AACCTCCTCCAGCTGTACAGACAACATCAACACCATAGTCAAATTCATCCCATACTGGATTGAGCATGTCGGGTGTCGCTGCACTCACGGCTCTTTCAGTGCGATTTCGGAGATCATCCAGTGTTGTGGAACCAACGACGAAGGTTCTGAGCTGTTGGAGGTTCACTGCAGACGAAAATCACGCTGCACAGTTATGACGGATTTGCAGTCAGAAACTCTATGACCCCCTCTTTCAATTGGATTGTGATTGGTTCCTAGACGCCTCATGGTTGTAAAAATATGGCGCTTTGAAATCGGATTAATCTTTTTGAATCACCCTGTATTTCTGTTCAGTGTTAAATGGAAAAACTGTTTTTTTTCTGTTTTATTGTTTGTTCAAGCCTTTTTAAAAGCTCTCAGAATATAAAATACATTATTATCCTTAATATTATCATCCCAATTAAAGTGTGTTGTGTTCACGGCTCTTTTCTAGGGTCAAAGCTGGTGCCATTCTGGAGCTGGCTACAGATGGGCAGAGATGTAGTCTTCATTAGACTACGTTACATCACTGGTGCCTGGAGACTGGAGTCCCCGAGGAAAACCCAGTAGCCTTTTGCTGCAGTTGGCCTGTGGATGCACATGAGCAAACAGTGCTTCTTGTATGTAACACCCACATGGCACTGCTACAGCTGGCAGAAAGCGTCACAGTTTGTAATCCGTGACCAGGATTATTACCACGCATTGTGTCAAACTATGTAGTGACTATAATCTCTTTTTATTATTTCAGGATTTTGCCCTTGGTGAACTGTAAATGTTTTCCATATGATTTTTATTTTGTTTTGTGGAGGGGGGTTCAACACTGATGTGTAGAGATTTTCATTTGAAGAGCACTCAGTGTTCAGCCAAATAAAAGAACAGTTAATATAATTTATGTTGTTTTTTTGTAAAACCTTCACAGCATGAAGTGTCTGTTTCCTTTGAGTGCAAAAGGGTCCTGATTTAGACAAGTTTGAAATATTAACTAAACCCTTCATGAAAAACAAGACCCAAGTCTGCGATTCGGAACAGCTGATTTATGCAGAACGTTTGTAAATCTCCAATAATATTTTTGTTTGAAGGGGTTTCCCCCACTTCCTTTTACATTTTTCTACATAATTCAATGGTTGAGACGTCAACAAAGTCATTCAGAATAGTCTGATGTGAAACGATGCGATACAGAGAAACTTAATGACCGATTATTCTCTTTACAGTGGTGCTGAAAGGAAATGGGGTCGCAATGTCTACAATGCGAATATGGCCATTTTATTTACTATCCAAAATGACCAGTGAATCTATAAGTGTCTGCTGGGTGTTTTGTGTGTAATGTTGACGATGGTAAAATAGTGGTAAATCTGAAAAAATATGCTTTCTTCGGGGACTATTTTGCCTTATAACACACTGTACCTCTCCACCTTGAATAAATGTAAAAAATATTATAGACCAAAGCCTTACCTCAAAACTATCGTAAACAATGTCTCAGACAGGCAGCGTATCCATAACCGTTTCATGGAATAACTTTTTGTGAGGCAGCTTTCAGAGGCATTAAATTCTTCAGACATCTGGTTCCTATCACCACCACTGTAGACTATTCTGATTCCAAGTTTCATTTCAAATCAGTGGAATTTCCCATTAAGGAAAGATTCCCACTCCAATGCGTTATAATGCATGTCTGATTAATGTGTGTCCTCTGAGGTTTTTACATGTAGTGTTGATAATGGTAAAACAGTACTAAGTCTTTGGGCCCTGTATTGCTTTACATCCTGCATGTATCTCCTCAGCCTTGAGGTACATAAAGACATTTTTGGCCAGAAATAGCTCTCAAAACTCAGCATCAGGCAGGTTAATGTGACCATGTTATGTGATAAATTTCTGTGATGTCGAGGGGTTTGACTCTTTAGGGCTGTCCAATAACAATGAGTGTGCTTACATGCACTTAATAAACCGATAACTGCAGAAAATCAGATTTTGTCAGTAATCCGATCAGTGTATTTATATGCACTTGAGTAATCAGATGATGGGAAACTCTGGGTCTACGTGAGTCAGACAGTAATCGGATTTCTGCTTTGCAACCAGCCAATAAACTCACAGAAGAAGACGTGACGTAAACTAAAGTAAAACTCTTTTAAAAATGTTTTTTTGAAAACGTTGTGCCACTTTACCTGAAAATATGACTGAGAAATCTGAAAGAAATCAGAGTAAGAGTTCACATGCACAGAGAAATCTGATTACTGAGCTAAAATCCAGCCTCTTTATTGGATTTCTTAACTGGATTTCTAGATCTTTCTCTGATCTAAGAAATCGGAGTGTGCTGTTTACATGAGTAATCAGATATCTGCAGAAATCTGCTTATGATCGGATTATTGAGGGCATGTAAACACACTCAATGACGGTCTTGTTTCTTCTCCTTCTATTGTCTGAGTATCTGGCTGACTAAGAAATCCTGCTTAGTAAAACACCCACCTGTAGTTCCCTACTGCCCACAACATCTTAGTGCTTGTCCTGCTTAAAGTCAGCATGAATCAGAAGTCATATTTCCTGCAGTACCAGTCGGAGTCTCTGAACTAGCGGAGCGTGTTTTGTTTGATGATAGATGGGACAGCCAGAGGGAGAAGTGAAACATATTATTAGTTAATATTATTCGACCCAGCTCACTGGTGCACAGCGACATAAACAAAAATCAGAAGATGTTTTAGGAGTGGCTGAAAGTCTATGTTTTGCAGGAAGGCGAGGATTTTGTCTTTTGAGTGATATGGGTTGTGCTTAATAGCAGGTACATTTTTTCCTTTTTTTTTTTACTTTTTCAGCTCAAATTCCTGGTTAAAAAAGGTACAACAGATTAAATTTTGATTTCAGACTGACTTGAAAAATCCAAATCAGAATCTGTAAATACCAGATGTTTCTTTTGGTGCAGCTGTCAACATAAAACAAACTACAGTAAAATTAAATACAGAAAAAGATAAACTATATCAGACACAGCAGTGCTGCTGGAGTTTTTAAACACTGTGTCCACTCACTGTCCACTCTATTAGACACTCCTACCTTGTCAGTCCACCTTGTAGATGTAAAGTCAGAGACGATAGCTCATCTGTTGCTGCACAGCTTGTGTTGGTCATCCTCTAGTCCTTCATCAGTGGTCACAGGACGCTGCCCACAGGACGCTGTTGGCTGGATATTTTTGGTTGGTGGACTATTCTCAGTCCAGCAGTGACACTGAGGTGTTTAAAAACTCCAGCAGCACTGCTGTGTCTGATCCACTCAGACCAGCGCAACACACACTAACACACCACCACCACATCAGTGTTGCTGCAGTGCTGAGAATGACCCACCACCCAAATAGTACCTGCTCTCCGAGGGTCCATGGGGGTCCTGACCACTGAAGAACAGGGTAAAAGGGGGCTAACAAAGTATCAGAGAAACAGATGGAATTGAACTACAAAGTGCACCTATATAGTAAGTGGAGGTGATAAAATGGACAATGAGTGTAGAAACAAGGATTTGGTCATAATGTTATGCCTGATCGGTGTATATATATGTGTGTGTGTGTGTGTATATATATATATATATATATATATATACACATATATATGGTTTTTTTTATAAAGTGTTAGTTTAAGCGGGCCTGTTGGAGCTCAGGAGCAGGGTTGAGAAACACTCGTTTTAGAAGTATTTAAGTGTTCTAGCCATTGTCTGAGTCCTCAGTGTGGAATGCAGTTTACTCAGCACCAGCCTGCTCTGCACCCTGGGGAACAGCATCCTGTTTGGCCTTCCCTCTCTTTATCTTTCCCACTCTCTCTATCTCTCTCTCTCTCCTTATCAGCAGGACTCGCTTAATCCATCTCTCCCTGAACCGGAGTAACGGTGTATTATATTACCTTGTAACGCATTGCTGACAAACCCAACAATCTGAACCCACTATGAAAATGTAAACTGTCGGCTTCTGCCTGCCCTCCTCCTCCACTCTGCCTGTACGTGCTGAGTTTTGAGGTCAGCGCACCTTGACGGATGGCCGTTACTCCGACCGTCCCTGGCTCGCTTTTTTTTTTTTCCACGTCCTCTGTATTGGAAACGGCTGAGCGCTGCCAGCCGCGTGTGATCACAGCGCGCTCAGCATGTCCGCTCTCATTACCGGGAGCGCTGCTCTGTTCCCCCTGCAGTTGCTGTAAACTGTGAAAATGTCAAACTTCTAGACTCTCTGTCGCCATCCAGGCTTGCGTCATTAACTAGACTGGTCACCGCGCGCACCAAATCGAAACGTATCCATCCGCAACGAGGAGCGCTCTAGAAATAGATCCATCGATAAAACTTTTGGCACCCCGCCAAAGTGTGTGATTTTATTTATTTATTTTTTTTCCTGCTGTAAATGACTGTGTGGGGGTTCAGGAAAGAGACGTGGATGTGACTTAAATGAACGGCAGCTCTGCAGTATGAAGAAACAGAGACGCTGGAATGTTACTCGTTTACCTGACAAGTGTCTGAATCTCAGTGCATGGTGGTCTCAGAACACGGGGGTCGCTTAAAAACAGGCCGATTCTAACAGCAACCCAAACTCTCTCAGACAAACAGCCCAGCCTGGCGCTGCAGCCGGGCTCTCGGCCCTCTGTGTGATGTGAGAGGACTGGCAGGTGTAGCCCCGCGCCTTTTTGGATAAACTGGAGCCTTCTGAATAGTTTTTAAAGCAAAAAAGAAGAAAACTAACACAGCGTTCACTTTGGCTCATAACCCGCACGAAGCTGGGGTCAGCTTCTTGTTCGGAATTTTTCCGTTCCACCTTAAATAGCGCGGCTTTTAAGGTGGGACGGGGAAATTCGAAGCAGAACCCGGAAAACTGGGAGCCGACCCAGGCTCATGTAAGCCGCTGTACCGCGGCGCTGAGCGGGGTGATGAGCAGGCTGTGTCAGGCGCGCCGCTGGGAGAGTTCCAGCGCTGCGGATGAATCGCGCACGAAGGCACTGCGGCTCCAGTCAGACTGACGCCGGGCGCTGCTGCCGTGGAGTCCAAACACGCGCTACACCTCCAATCAGAGCGAGGCTGGAGAGAGCGGGCAGAAAACACGGCGCAGAGCGGCTTTCACTGGACACAGACCGATACAGGTAAGAGACGTTATGACTTCTACTTTATTGAGGATTATTTTCAATACTTGTATTTGGTAGTAAGTAAATGTTTTCGCGCGTAAGTGGCGGGTTTGGGGCGACAAGTGCCAATTTACTAGTCCGCGTTTCCCCTGTTTTTTTGTGTCAGTAGCTTTGTGAACTTGTTGCTTCAGACATCAACTCAGCACTGGAGGCGTGGTGAGCGCAGACGATGCTGCTGCAGCCCCCCCAACCCACCGCTGACCTTACCTACTGTCCGCTCACTATGGCACACTGTACAGCTCCAAACTTCTCTCTTTCGCACTAACTAAACCCCAGACTGTGTTTCTGTGAGGAGCCGTAGCTGCAGCTCCGTGTTTCCGAGCGGGAGCTGTGATGGAGTGTGTGTGAGGTGATTAAGCCTATCTGAGCTCTCAGACTGAGAGACGCCAGTTTCATAAGGAGTCACTCCGCCTGGGAGACCGGAGCAGCTGAACTGCCTTTATTAGCACACTTTATTGTTTTTTTTTTCCCCTTCTCTTTTCTTTTCTCTTCTCTCTTTCTTTCTTTCCTTTTTCTTTTCTTTTTTAGTTACCTCCCTATTCGCTTTGAGTCCAACTACTCTTAGTGCCCCCCCCCCGCCTCTTTTAAAAGCAATGGCTCACCGAAAAAATCAAATTTACACATTTTCCTCAAACACAGTCGACTGACCAAGGAATGTTTGGTGTTTGAAGTCTGCCTCTTTAGTTTTGTATTTGTCCTGGACTCTTAAAAAAGATGGTTCTTTACGGGTTCTATTTAGATTCTGTATACTTGCATGGTGGAATGGTTCTTCAGATTGGAAAATGTGTTGTATATGGTTTTAATAAGTACAACCTTGTTGAAAATGATTCCAAAAAGAGGTCTTCCATTGTTGCAAGCTTGACATAGTAACAATAGCAGAGCCCTCTTTGGTTCTATGTAGAACCCTTTTCTAAAAGGTTCTACATAGAACCATATGCAACACATTCTCCATCAATCTAAAGTGCTGATTCACAATGACAAAGAACTCTTTAAGCATGCAAATTGTTCTTTGAATGTTTTTTGAACTGAAGAACTCTTGAAGAACCACCTTTTTTTAAGAGTGTAGGAAACTAATATAACAGAAGATCAATGCCACTCAAAATATTTAGAGTCACATCGAGTTCCATTACTTGTTAGGTGTATTAGCGCCATAAAACCTTAGACCACATAACTACATTTTGGATAAAGGGGACATTTTTTGGTGTACCATTCCTTTAACCTCACAAGGGCCTTGTTTATTAACTGATGAGTTGAGTCAGGTGTGATTAAGCAGGGGAAGCCCAGCACAGTGGCCCACTCAGTATTTCCGAAGAGTGCACTGCAACAGCTCTTAAAAGCTCTCAGCACTCCAACTCTGATTGATTGAACTTGACACAAATATTACAAAATGTGGTTCTTCATTTCTGCAGGTCAGGTTAGTTTTGATACATGAGTGAATAGAGATCAAGTGTGTAGTAGTGAGGAGCTTTAAAGCCTGCTGAGAGCAGAAGTCACTCAGTGATGCCGCTGAAGTCCCAGCGGTGCTCTAATGAGGTGGAAGTGTAATGAGGAGTAGGGTATTAGATTCCAGCACAAAGAGATTTTCATAAATGCTTTGGCCAATTCTCTCAGAACTATTGTTCCTGGAGAGTTAGGCACAGAGCAAACAGTGCCCACTCCTTTTTTTGTTGTTGTTCCTGTCAAGTGCTTTTAGTTTTGGCTTCTCCTCTTCAATGAATATTTCACATGCCTGTTTTTTTTTTTTGCAGATAAAAGGAGTAATACCCACACTCTGGGCCTTCCCCTTCAGGGGGTTCACCGTCAAGTTCAGTTGGATCTTGGCTGAGAGAAAGCAAACTGAGGCCCTTTTTTTCCTCCTCAGTAGCAGCCATTCCAGCCCATCCTGCTCTAATTCCCTCTGAGCTTTGTTGCGCTTCGTGGCCAGATGCACTCCACCACATCCATCACCTCGCTGTTCTCCTTCACCAGCCCGGCCGTGAAGCGCCTGCTGGGCTGGAAGCAGGGAGATGAGGAGGAGAAGTGGGCCGAGAAGGCCGTGGACTCCCTGGTGAAGAAGCTGAAAAAGAAGAAAGGGGCGATGGAGGAGCTGGAGAAAGCTCTGAGCTGCCCGGGTCAGCCCAGCAAATGTGTGACCATCCCACGCTCGCTGGACGGAAGGCTGCAGGTGTCCCACCGGAAGGGCCTGCCTCACGTCATCTACTGCCGCGTGTGGCGCTGGCCGGACCTGCAGTCTCACCACGAACTGAAAGCCCTGGACTGCTGCGAGTTCCCCTTTGGCTCCAAGCAGAAGGACATCTGTGTGAACCCCTACCATTACCGCCGTGTGGAGACACCAGGTCTGTCTGCTATGCACAATGTAGTTTGTTAATGGTTATCACAACATTAGACTTCACTAATTAACTGCAATATACAATTCTAAAAACAGCAATATGCAATACTAATAGGCTGCAATTTATAACACTAATAGGCTGAAGTATGCAGTAATAATGGGCTGCAGTATGCAATTCAAATAGGCTGAAATAAGCAATACTAATTGTTTATTGTGCCCTGGGAGCATCATGCCTTATTACAGATGATCTTCATTAGAGATCATTTTGACAAACAAAGGCGTTCACATGAAATTTAGTCGTTCACATAATCGTTCAAAATAATGCAGACCGATCTTTAACCACTACTGTGTTTTTAGTATGTTGTGTGGCAGCAACATGTAGCAAAAGAAATGTGATATGGTATCTTATTCAGCCCTACCTCATTATAAGTATACATTCTTTCATAAAAGTCTGAAAGAATAACCCTTTCCCCAAATGTCTTGTCTTGTCCTCTCTTCCCTTCATTCCCCAGTGTTGCCTCCAGTCCTGGTGCCTCGTCACAGTGAGTTCAACCCTCAGCACAGCTTACTGGCCAAGTTCCGCAACGCTTCCCTACACAACGAGCCACTGATGCCGCAGAATGCCACTTTCCCAGACTCCTTCCCCCCGATGCCCTGCAGCTCTTTCTCCACCTCTCCATCCAGCTCTCTGCAGTCCCCCACTGCAAACAGCTACCCCAGCTCCCCCAGCAGCACCGCTGACCCTGCAAGCCCTTACCACATCACAGGTACACGGCTGGTTATGTGCCTTCTGTTAACTGTGGTTGGTATAGTGTAGTGGGTTACACCTCTGCCCTCTATGCTGTAGACTGGGGTTCAGTGCCCCACCTGGGTAAACACCCTACACTATACCAATAAGAGTCCTTGGGCAAGACTCCTAACACTACCTTCGCCTACCTGTGTAAAATGATCAAATTGTAAGTCGCTCTGGATAAGAGCGTCTGAGAAATGGTGTAAATGTAAATGAAACTGTGCTATGTTTGTTAATCCTAAGGGATCCATCATGGGACCTTTGCAAAGAAGTTTATATTTATTGTAATAATTAAGAAAGGTTTAGTTTATGCTGGGTGAATCGTCAAATATAAATTTACACAAAAACGGAAAATATGTGGCATAAAAACAATTATGGCCTTCGCAGTAGCCCAGTAATATATCAGTATATTAGTAACTCATTAAAAACTCATAAATGACTCATTTGATTGTAGCCTTCAGTATTTACAAAGCAGTCGTTTTCATTTTATCAGGAAACAATAACACCTATTTCTCTTTATTCTCAAAGTGTCTCTTTTCTGATTGGTTCCCCTGTATTGTCCCTTTTTCAAACAGCTGTTCAGGCTGAAACACTCCTTATAGCTTCACCACATATGGGTGGGGGTAAACTGCCGTAAGCTGAAGACGCAGTTATATGTATATGTATTGGTTTTCATTATGTCACACACACAATTCAAAACAGGCTGTTTTGCAACTTAATTTTTATATATGGACTTTATGGACCGGGGCATGGATGGTATGTTTTGAAACTTCAGCAATGTTTACATAATACATCAACTCTTATTTCAATAAGAGAGGAGAATTCCGTTTTCCATGATATGGTCCTTTGTAAGTATCACTTAAAATGCCACAATTATTACTCTTTATTTTCTCAACCTATTAAACAGCAGAGACCCCACCACCGCCTTACAGCATGATGGAAACCAGCCCTCCAGAGGACGTGAAGCCAGGAGAATCCTCCAACCCCATTAAACTCACCCTGTCTGCTCCACACAGAGGTACAGAGAACGCCCACTGTCCACTTCATTGTTTCTCAGCCCTGGTCCTGGAGTAGCCCCGCTCTGCACGTTGTAGTGTTTTGTTTGCTCTAACACACCTAATTCAACTCATCAGGTCATTAACAAGCCCTTCCTCAAATGAACAGTGAACATTATAGTAAGGAACGCATTAAAATGTGCATGGCAGGGACTCCAGGACCAGAATGGAAAACCATTAGTCTAGTTTAATACACATTCAGCTTTACACCGATCAGGCATAACATTATGGCCTTGTTTCTACGCTCATTGTCCATTTTATCAGCTCCGCTTACTATATAGGAGCACTTTGTAGTTCTACAGTTACAGACTGTAGTCCATCTGTTTCTCTGATACTTTGTTAGCCCCCTTTTACCCTGTTCTTCAGTGGTCAGGACCCCCATGGACCCTCACAGAGCAGGTACTATTTGCGTGCTGGATCATTCTCAGCACTGCAGTAACACTGACGTGGTGGTGGTGGTGTTAGTGTGTGTTGTGCTGGTCTGAGTGGATCAGACACAGCAGTGCTGCTGGAGTTTTTAAACTGCTGCTGGACTGAGAATAGTCCACCAACCAAAAACATCCAGCTGACAGCGTCCTGTGGGCAGCGTCCTGTGACCACTGATGAAGGACTAGAGGATGACCAACACAAACTGTGCAGTAGCAGATGAGCTGTCGTCTCTGACTTTACATCTACAAGGTGGACCGACAAGGTAGGAGTGTCTAATAGAGTGGACAGTGAGTGGACACAGTGTTTAAAAACTCCAGCAGCACTGCTGTGACTGATCCACTCATACCAGCACAACACACACTAACACACCACCACCACGTCAGTGTCACTGCAGTGCTGAGAATGTTCCACCACCCAAATAGTACCTGCTCTGTGAGGGTCCATGGGGGTCCTGACCACTGAAGAACAGGGTAAAAGGGGGCTAACAAAGTATCAGAGAAACAGATGGACTACAGTCTGTAACTGTAGAACTACAAAGTGCACCTATATAGTAAGTGGAGCTGATAAAATGGACAGTGAGCGTAGAAACGAGGTGGTCATAATGTTACGCCTGATCGGTGTATAGTGCCGTGGTCGTTAACTGTAAGTCTGTGCATTGTCTTCTTTTAGATTTGCGGCCAGTCTGTTATGAGGAGCCAGAGCACTGGTGCTCTGTAGCCTACTATGAACTCAACAACCGAGTGGGTGAGACTTTCCACGCCTTATCCCGAAGCATCCTGGTGGACGGGTTCACAGATCCGTCCAACAACAAGAACCGCTTCTGCCTGGGACTGCTCTCCAACGTCAACCGCAACTCCACCATCGAGCACACCCGCAGGCACATAGGCAAAGGTGAGTGTCTTGTCTGATTGCAGGGGTCATCTTTTTGAAGGCCTATCAGCTCTAATCCGGGTTTTAAAAGCAACCAAACAATAAAAATGGACTTAACTGGACAATAAAAGACAGATTTCAAAATATTATTATATCAAAACGGACAAGGAAACCTTTACCAAGACTTCTTTAAAAAAAAATACAGCCATCCATTGATCGGAGTTAAAGAGAGCATTAGTGGCCTCCCTTCATCATCTCAATTCTACACAATTCTATGCAGTTACACACCGGTCATAACACCAAACGCACTGACTGCATTTCAGCTGCAGTTTAACCAATATAAACATCTAACGTTAGCTTAGCGGCTCTGAAATTGAGCCCAAGCATTAATGAACTTGCAGCAAAGAAAGGATGCCAGATGTCTACTACAAGCAAAAGGTAGGACTGAGCTCCTGGGGACATTTAAATTTGGAATATTTCAAGTATTCATGTAATATTTCAAGGTTTACTACAAGTGTCTGTAATTTTACTGCTGAGGTTTTTGTGTGTATTTTGAATAAACAATGCCCAGTTCGGGTTACAGCACAACATTAACAAAAAATAAATAAAAGACATTTTTTTTCTCTGCCCCACAGATTTGTTGAGATTTTTTAATATGGCCCCTTTAGTGGTTCAGTTTGACACCCCTGGTTTAACCATTTCCAATCCTTTCCTTGTGGCAGTCCAGTATTAAATATAGTTGTCATCCAACACCTGATTTCAGCACTTCATTATGTTAGATCATATGTGGGAATGTAACATAATGTGAATCCATGAGACGGCTGGGGGCTTCAAGAAGCCACAATTTCTAAAAAAAAAAAAGGAATTCGTGTTACTTTGTACTGCCAAGATAAATGGTTTTAAACAATGTGCTTAGAAGCCGGAGACTTTTGCACAATACTGTAAATGGGTTTGTCCATCAGTCTCTGTTTCCTACTGTAAGAGAGACCAGGAGGAGAATTTAAAATATGACAACTAATCTTCACCAATTCACAGAGAAGGCAAGTTTTAGTCAAGTAATCGTGACAGGCCTTGTTTGGTGATTTCTCTGCTCAAACACACCCGATTAGGCTCATCAGTTAAGCAGCAGAATTAGGTTTGTTAAAGGAGGAAAATCGGTGCTGGGCACCTTCGCTACGGACTGGTGACCCCTAGTTTATGGTTTCTTGTCATTTCTGCTGATTTCCAGTTTGGAAAGTTGGTTTTGACACACACTCTCGTGCTTAGACAAAATTTAGGCTCTTGATAATGATGTTCCACCGCAATGTTAATCCACCGACCACAAGGAGAAAAAACACCGGCCTGTCGCTGTTTGTGTGGCGCCAGAGAGTGGTGGCCTGTAGACACTGTGCTTACGGCTCTCAGAAACACAGGGGAAGTCGGCACTTGCCAAACGTTGGCTTTTCTCCTGCTGTCTTGATTGCGCTTGCAGAGCGTCTGAAAATCGGGAAAAGTAAATGTTGTCGTGAGTTCCAACAGTTACACAGAACACACACACACACTCACACACACACTCACACACACACACTCACACACACACACACACTCACACGTGGACGACATGAAAGCCTGCCAAGTGTGTGTGCTATCCACATGCCTGAGAGCCCCTTTGTGGAGAGTGACATAACCCAGAGCAGCATGCTTGAAAAATGGATGTTATTAAGGTTTCCGCTTGGCAAGTGATGAAACAAAGTAGGGTTTGTAAATAGCGAGTTGACAAAAATGTTCAAACCTTGGATTTACAGTCTCATTTCCAGCATGTTTTCAGAAGTGGTCAGATTTTTATTATTATTTTTTTCCTCTTTGAACTTTTTTTTTAACTGACTATAGTTAAAAGTTTCTGTGACAGCACCGTTAAGTCACTTTTTACTGTAGCTCCTTAAATGATCAGTGCTTAATATACAGTATCTGTTTAAACCATTAAGCAGCAAAGATATTATTAATATACACTGATCAGGCATAACATTATGACCACCTCCTTGTTTCTACACTCATTGTCCATTTTATCAGCTCCACTTACTATATAGGTGCACTTTGTAGTTCTACAGTTACAGACTGTAGTCCATCTGTTTCTCTGCTTTGTTAGCCCCCTTTTACCCTGTTCTTCAGTGGTCAGGACCCCCATGGACCCTCACAGAGCAGGTACTATTTGGGTGGATCATTCTCAGCACTGCAGTAACACTGACATGGTGGTGGTGTGTTAGTGTGTGTTGCGCTGGTATGAGTGGATCAGTCACAGCAGTGCTGCTGGAGTTTTTAAACACTGTGTCCACTCACTGTCCACTCTATTAGACACTCCTACCTTGTCAGTCCACCTTGTAGATGTAAAGTCAGAGGCGAAAGCTAACAAAGTATGCAGAGAAACAGATGGACTACAGTCTGTAACTGTAGAACTACAAAGTGCTCCTATATAGTAAGTGGAGCTGATAAAATGGACAATGAGCGTAGAAACAAGGAGGTAATGTTATGCCTGATCGGTGTACATCAGCAGTTTAACTGTTTAAAATATTAAAGCACACTATGATTCTTTGGACTGATTTTCATGTTCATTTTTTTTTTCTTCACCCTATATGTGGGCTTAGACATGTTGTCTGCATGTGATCTTTATCTGAAATGACTTTCTGTTTATAAAAGCAGTCCAGATGGGAAAAAGGATCTGGTTGCCTGAGATGTTTTGCTGTTTAGACGGAACAGTGTGAAGTGAAAAATCAGATTAAAGCCGCCTGCCGACATGCAGCCTGTGTTGTCATGCAGATCTTACTAGAAGTATTTATGTGAAACTTAAGTTGTTAGTGAGCCTGTTTATAAGTCAAAACCTCTGGTGTTTAAAGCTGAGCTTTTCTGGCTAATCTGAGATTTGACAGCTTAAACAAAGCTATGCTTTGAAATTCAAAATGAACCGCCTTGTTTAATGTCCCGCAGGGGTGCACCTGTACTACGTGGGTGGCGAGGTGTATGCGGAGTGCCTCAGTGACAGCAGTATTTTCGTCCAGAGCCGCAACTGCAACTACCAGCATGGCTTCCACGCCACCACTGTCTGCAAAATTCCCAGCGGCTGCAGCCTCAAGATCTTCAACAACCAGCTGTTCGCCCAGCTACTGTCCCAGTCAGTCAACCACGGCTTCGAGGTGGTCTACGAGCTCACAAAGATGTGCACCATCAGAATGAGCTTTGTTAAGGTAAGGGGATTTAATATTGAACACTGATTTTGAAGGTTTATGTGAATTGACAGGAAAATAAAATAAATATTTCATGAAACTGATCCAGAGCAGTGAACTCTTGGTTGTAAAATATGATTTGCTAAGCGATGTTCAAAGGTGTATAATACTCAGTAAACACATTGTACCACATGCACAAACTGAATTCTTCATTAATGCGCCACGTTATGTTGGCAAGCATAGCCTACTGTCAACAAACCCTATTGTTCGCCAAGAGAATCGTTTACTGTAATTACAATTAAAAATACATTCAGTTCTTTATTGAACATTGACATAGTTTAAGTAGAATAAAACTACAGAACAGTGCTTAGCTGATGCTTGACCTAATTTCACCCTTAACCGTGGTTAAATGACCATAAACAACTCTACTTGAGCTGCTTCTTATGGCTCTGCGGCCCCCTAACGACTTCTGGGATTTTTCTGTTTTTTTCTTTTTCGAGTGAGGGGGGGAAAAAGCAACTGGTTAATCATGTCTCGAAAAAAAACAAACGCAACATGGTTTAAAAACCATGAAACGGAAACAAGGAGAAAATACTCAAAGATATAGGCGGTGGTTTGAGTGGTTTTAGGGTTATGCCATTTGTTTTGACTTGTAATTGGACAGCAAGAAGTAGTGGACTTGGACTTGAGGTCTGTCTAACCAAGCAGGTTTAATTTAGGCTTTCTTAATAAGTTTCAGCTTTATGAAATCTCACAAACACACACACAGTTAATCCGTTTTACAACAGCGGTTAACAAGTTTCTCTGTTAACTCAGGTTTAGATACTCAGGCTGTGATTAATCATGCACATGAAAGCGTGACGTTTATGAACCAACAGCCAATCACGCGAAAGGAGACGTCACCAAAGAAGGAAAAAGAAATCAGGCTGCAAAAACATGTACAGAGTAAACGGTTTATAACTGTAAAAAATAACCTGTCGGCCGCTGCCAACATGAAGTATGATTTAATTAAACTGATCCAGAGCAGTGAACTCTAAAATCTGATTTGCTAAGCGATGTTCAAAGGTGTACAATACTCAATAAACACACTGTACCACATGCACAAACTGAATTCTTCATTAATGCGCCAAGTTATGTTGCTTGGCATGCATAGCCTACTGTCAACAAACCCTATTGTTCGCCAAGGGAATCGTTTACTGTAATTACAAATTAAAAATACATTCAGTTGTTTATTGAACATTGGTGTAGTTTATAAAACTACAAAACAGTGTTTAGCTAATGCTTGACCTAACAGCACCCTTAACCGTAGTTAAATGACCGTAAACGACTCTACTTGAGCAGCTGCCAACATGGTTAGACTGATCAAACACTTACCTGTGTAAGCAAGAAATGCTTTGAGACAGAGCTCCGAATCGAGAATGATGGGTTACAATGAGAGAGTAACACATTGTCAACAACGAGTAGTTTAGGCCAATCAGACTTGTGCATGCTAGGGATGCCGTGTCAGAGCACAGGGATATTCTGTATCTGAAGATATTTCAAAATGCTTGACCTTATGATCTTGAACAGCTGTGAACTCCTCATTTTCAGTTTCATTTTTTCAATAACTGGATTCCCTGGATTAGTGACGGCAAAGGTGACTCATGGCCTTTGGCCTTGTTTTCCCTTTGCAGTGCTCCCAGCCAGTAAAGGAGACGGTTGAGGTGGTAGAAGGGCGTCCAGATGGAATGTCTTCTGTGTGTGTTGCTATGCAAATTGCAGACAGTTATTCTGATCTTTGGCATGCTGATGGCAGACTGCTGCACTGCCAAAACTCACTGCAGTCCTCCAGGGTTCTCCAGTTACTGTTTATTTGACTGAGCCCTTGGAAATGTGACATTACATTCTCAAACCTGACAGACATACACAAAAGTGATTCAAGGTAGAGAAAATTAATGCTGCAAAACGCAGCGCCGTGTCATGTCAGGAATGCGAATATAGTTTCTGGTGCTCTTAGACTCGTCACTGTCGCATTAATGGCGAACGCTCTGTTCCGTCTTTCTCCCTTTAGGGCTGGGGAGCAGAATACCACCGTCAGGATGTCACCAGCACCCCCTGCTGGATAGAGATCCACCTGCATGGGCCTCTGCAGTGGCTCGACAAAGTTCTGACCCAAATGGGCTCCCCACACAACCCCATCTCATCTGTGTCCTAACAGTGTATATACACCGGTAAACCTACAGCACATCCAGAGGATCAGCACAGGAGGAATCTGCGTCAAAATCACCATCTCATTTTCACTACAGCTATATGGTACAAGTAGATTATCTGATGCTAAAAATACCTTTAAAGGGAGGTTCCACCGATTTAAAAAAAAATCCTGTATTAATTAGTCGTTGAGATGTAAACAAAGTCATTCAGAATGTTATACCGCAGAGAAAAGTACCAGCTCAGATGCCTTTACAGTGGTGGTGATAGGAACGGGAAGCCTACAACACAAATATAACCATTTTATTTGCAATACCAACAACCAGTGAACCTACACATCGTCTGAATTTTAAAAGTAATGTTGGTAATGGTAAAAAAGTGGTAAATAAAAATAGTGGTTTCTTGCCTTCTACCCACCGAGCGCTGGGATAGGCTCCAGCACCCCCAACCCCACCACACACAACCCGGGAGAATAAGCGGCTGAATAAATGAATGAATGAATGAATAAAAATGCTTAATAATTCCCTGCCTCTATTTCTGTATTTAAAAAAACAAGTGTTAGGCCAAAGTCTTATCTCAGCACTACTGTAAAACAATACCAGTCATTAGGCAGCATATTCATAACTACTTCATGTAATAAATTTCTGTAAGGGGAGCTTTTAGAGGCATTAAATGCTTTGGATGTCTGGTTCCTATTAACACCACACTCTCAGAAATAAAGGTACTAAACTTTCACTGGGGTGGTTCATCTCAGTACCTTTAGTCAGGGAACATAACTGAACCATAATCCACTGAAATGATATGTTCTAAGCTGTACTGACTCCACACACCCCGTCTCGTCTCCAGGCTTTTATTTTACTGTTCTGTTTTAAAACATTCGGTTATGAAAAGGTACAAATACGAACTTTTCACCTGGAAAAACTTATTTAAGGTTCACAATCAGACCTTAAAACCACTGTTGGAGCTTTGAGGGAACATTTACACTGTTTGTACCTCGATGAATGAAAAACGTACCAGCACAGAACCTTTATTACTAACAGTGCACTGTAAACGATTCTGATTCTGCAAGTTTTTTTTTCATTGAGCTACTCTGAATGACTTTGTTTACATCTTCATCTAATTCTGCATGCTTTTTGAAAAGTTTGTGGAATGCCCCTTTCAAAATATAGTGTGCAGCCAAGTGGTAAAGTAACTGTTTTTCTTTGTTCTTTGTTTTTTTCTTCTTTGTTTTTAATCAAGATCACTATTCAACACTCCTTAGTGGTTCTGTACAGTTTAGACAGCGACACAAATAGAAAGTCAAAGAAAGAGAATAGAAAGGCAACAGGTCAGTAGTAGCAGTGTTAGCATGGTGTTTGTTTTGTGCTGTTTGTGTCATTTTTTGAAATACAAAAATTCTGTCAATCGTGTGCGCACTGTCTTGAGACTTACAACAAAAATGAACAATAAAACAAAATTTTAAATCATAATTTTGAAAAAAAATTAAAATAATAATGATAATCATAATAATAATATTCTCTGCCCAGCAAGGCCTTCTGTAAACACTGCAAATTTAAAATGAAACAATCAAGATGCATAAGTTTGTCTATTAAAAATTCACTTAAGTTTATCAGTTTTGGGTACCCATTTAAAATCATCTTTTCCATAAAGATGTATCAGAAGCACTGCAAATCATGCTGTTTTGATTATCAGTATGTCACAAGGCCAAAACACTAGTTTTAGAAAACACTTCAAACTAAAGCACAAACCAAAACATGTCATTACTGTGATTAATTCATGCTGAATAGTACAGTACTAACAAAGCTAGTGAAGGGCTGGGTTCCCGGACATTGACTAAGCCTAGTCTGGTGATCCCCCATTGGAAATTGTTTTATTCTAAGATTTGCCTTAATCTGGGTCTGGAAAACCAGCCCTAAGAGTTAAAAGGGGAACCCCACCAATTTCCAGTCAATTTTCCTGTAATTCCATGATTATGATTTAAACAAATTAAAGATTTATTTGGAGTGGTTTGATGTGAAAATCTCTGTTCTAGAGAAACTTGCCAAGTCAGAATTGCTCACAGTGGTGGTGACAGGAACCAGATGTCTGAAGAGTTTAATGCCTCAAACAATCTGAGTTTAATTTCTCTACATGAAATTAGAACATGTACTCTGCCCGATTCCCGAGATCTGTTGTACGAAAGTTCTGAAGTAAGCTTTGGGACTCTTTTGGAGAGGTACATGCAGTGAGGTGGTTTCAAGGCAAAACAGTCCCCAAAGAACACTTAGTGTTCCATATTTTCCACTATTTTACCATCATTAACATTGCGTATAAAACTTAGAAGATTTAGGTTCACTGGTGGTTTTGGAAAATAAATAAAATGGCTATATTTGTGTTGTGGACATTGTGACCCTGCTACTGTTCATCACCACCACCAGTGTAAAGAAATCTGAGTTGGCAAGTTTCTCTACACTGAACTGGGTCACGTCACCATGCACCATTATTTAAAAATGTAGGGAATTCCTCTTTAAGAACAAATTTTCAATGAAATTCAAGTACACTATATGGACAAAAGTATTGGGACACACCTCTTAATCATTGAAATCAGGTGTTTCATTCAGTCCTGTTGCCACTGGTGTTTAAATTCAAGCACGTAGCCATGCAGCCTGCCTTTATACACATTAGTTTAGGAACCACAGCAACTCTGGAGCGCCTCTCTATCTGTCAGTCTGATGGATGAGTCTTGGTTTGGTGAATGCCAGGAGAACGTTACCTGCCTGACTGCACTGTGCCAGCTGTAGGGTTTGGTGGAGGAGGGATGCTGATATGGGGCTGTTTTTCAGGGGTTGGTCTAGAACCCTCAGTTCCAGTGAAGGGAAACCTTAATGCTTCAGCAGAACAAGACATTTTGGACAATTCTATGCTTCCAACTTTGTGGGAACAGTTTGGGGAAGAACCTTTTCTGTTCCAGCATGACTGAGCCCCAGTGCACAAAGCAGCTCCATAAAGGCCTGGCTGGGTGAGTTTGGTGTGGAAGAACTTGACTGGCCCTCACAGAGCCCTGACCATCACACACCTTTGGATGAAGCAGAACAGATTTTGAGCCAGACCCTCTCGTCCAACTTCAGTGTCTGACCTTACAAATGCTCTTCTGGATGAATGGGCAGAAATTCCCACAGACTCTCTCCAACATCTTGTAGAAGCTTCCCAGAAGAGTGGAAGCTGTTAGAGCTGCAAAGGAGGGACCAACTCCATATTAATGCCTATGGATTTAGAATGGTGTAACGTGTAGGTGTCCCAATACTTCTGTCCACATAGTGTATAGTTTTATAAATGAGGCCCTTGAACTACACTTTCCTATCTCCATTCAGAATGCTGTGTAGTCTATGACTAGGCTTAAACAGACCCTAAGTGCTGGGCTCCCAGACATGGACTAAGCCTAGTCTTGGACTAAATTGTAGTTTCAAAGGTGAATCCCTTTTTGAAATTATTCTACTCTAAGATTAGCCTTAATCTGAGTCTGAGAACCCAGCCTTTAGGGTCTGTTTAAGCCCAGTGACTACTGATTTTATGATGTAGCTGCCTTCTAATAATTTACATAACTAGTTTAAAATGACACACAAATACAAACGCATAATAAAAACATTATTAAAAAAATCGTGATAAAGAGAACACTGATAGTTTAAAAAAAGCATTATATACAGTAGATCTGCTACTGATGATTGTCATGATAATGACTTCACTACTTCAGTTCTCTCTTCACCTCATATCATGGAGTCTTCAGAGACACTGAAGGTTCTTCTTATCAGACACTGATGTAACAAATGGGTTCACAATCTTCATGTTTCCTTAAGCCGAATAAGTTCTTTACAAAATGCTTGTAATAGTCTGGTTATTTGAACCCAAGTCAGTAGTGCAGTCAGTAGTGCTGGACACGCAGCAAGACTGGTCAGTAGTCCTGACTCTGAGCTCGAGCCTGGGTGGTCAGGAGGCGCTGCTGCTGCTGGAGGAAACTGATGACCTCTGGGCTCCGCAAGAGAGACTGGAAACCACAGACAAAGCACTATTAAGGACAGCATTTTGCTCTAACTTCATTTAAAGAGCATTACAATGATTGCATTTTACTGTAACTTTGTTTACAGAGCATAACAAACTCATTCAGGAACTGTCAATGCCATAAATGCTCCAAGGCTAGCTTTCAGTTTATTAATAGTGAATGTGGTTATTAATGGGTGCAGCCCAATGATCCTACACTGCTAATACAGACCCTGTAACAACTTAATAAGTTCATTGTGCATAAACTGCTCTTACATTTTGCCAAAAACCATTAGCAGCTTGGGCACCAGTAGGACTAAAAGATGAATCGTTGTTATATCGAGACAAATTGCAATTTACAAATCGCAAGAGCTGCACACTTAAAAAAAAATGCAGTTCTTTAAGGTTCTTAAAAAAAGATGGTTCTTTAGCCTCTTATGCTTGTGGGTATATTTTGGTTTTTCCATCTGAATTTACATGCCCAAATCATAAAGCAAATTATTCAGTAACTGCATTAATGTTTTTTGTTGTTGTTGTGAAAGGTTCCCTCAAATGAACAGAAAATGTTTTTTATGATCATAATGTTATATGCTTACAATTTACTGCTGAAAGCCAAAAATCTTAGATGCTCTTTGTATTATTTTATAAAAATATTTTTTTACAGTGCATATCACTGAAGAGACGCCATCTGAGATCCAGTTTATAGCTCAGATTTGTGGAAAAAATGTGGAAAAACGAATTTTTTTTTTGACTTTCAGTAGAAAAAAAAAAAAAGTGAGTTCAGCTTCTTTTATTATAAGGGTTTAAAATTACATCACCCATCTATTTGACTGGAAAGAAGACAGTTACAGCTCTCATACGACCCCCACCTTTAGAATGAAGCTTATGAAATATGAAAGTAATGAAGTAAAGAATATGACAAAGTGCGTTTTGGGTCTTTACTAACCTTTTTAATTCCCATGGAACCACAGGTGGATTAAAAAGGTTAGTAAAGACCCGTGAACATTCAGACCCATTTGTACGCATAAAAAGTTCTCTGCATGGTGAAATCGTTCTTCAGATTAGAGAATGTGTTGTATGTGCTTCTGTATAGCATCAAAAAGGGTTCTGCTATCGTTACTTTGTTGCTTGTTGATGTCAAGCTCACATCAAACATTTTGGTCCTGTAGAGAACTCTTTAAAAAGGTTCTATATAGAACCATTTACAACACATTCTCCATTAATCTGAAGAACCATTTCACCACACAGAGAACTTTTTATGCATGCAAATGGGTTGCTGAGTCCTTATGGTTCAACCTGGAATCAGCCAGAAATGAACCGAATACCGTTAACACACTCCCTCTCCTGTTCTATTGCTTAAATCTAAGAATTTTAAAAATAAAAGATAATAAAACAACTAACAATGTTCTAGAACATTACATTATCCAACGATAAACCTGATAAGAGGCTATAAAAGCCTAAAAATAGAACATACAATTACAGGCCATAATTTCAATATTGGACCAATAATTATATAACTACTTCACGCCAATATATCGTAAATCCCTAAAATGGTCTATTATGTAATGGCATTAGCAGAGTGCAGTTCAGGATATCCATGTAATCTTCAGATAATGGCATAATGGGTCAAAGGTGAAATTTCGCTGTTGTGGGACTAATAAGGGTCACTTTATCCATCCATCCATCATCTAAACCGCTTATCCTTCTGGGTCGCGGTGGGGTGCTGGAGCCTATCCCAGCTGTCATTGGGCGGAAGGCAGGATACACCCTGGACAGGTCGCCAGTCCATCGCAGGGCGGGTCACTTTATTATTATTATCATCATTATTATTATTATTATTATTATCCATGATGAGCACATTTAGAAGAATAACTCACTCACCAGTCTCTTTTGGTTTAAAACTTGCTCTATTAGGGAAGGTCTCGCAGGACGTTCTCCCATGGTTCCAAGCCGCTGTTTAGTCACAGAAACTGGCCTCTCCTCTGAGCCCTCCTGTAAACAAAGAGATCCTGATTTACTCCAAAGACCTTTTCCACCAGAGTTAACTTCTATCCATGACTCATTCGTTTATTTACAACCTCACAATGGTTTATCATTTAAGTGTACCTTAAATAGTACCATGTTTATTGTACTTGATGGTTTTGTTTTGGATGTTAGAAGGAGAATATCATTAAAGTGCTGAAGCATCTTCTCTTTCCAGAGCCATTCGTTAAAAAAAAATGGTTCACCAAAAAACTAAAGTACACCATTTCCTTTTATTTCAAATGTAGTCAACAAGCTAAGCCTGGAGTCCGAAATCTGCTTCTTTTGTTTAATACTGGCACTATGAGGCTAATGTTACCAAAATAAAGAAGCAAACGTGTTCCATGATCCAACTGAAATCAGATCTGTATATTCCTCTATACTCCTTTCGTTATGCACTCTCCCCTTTCATTCTGTCATCTCTACACTTTTTTTCATCTCACCCCTTTCTCTATGCTGTCGTTTCTCTCTCTCTACCCCTCCCTTTTCTCTTAACTGTGTTGATTTACATGCCATTTAGCGAGAAGTGAGAAAACGCTAGAATCATGTTGAATTAGGTCACAATAACTTATCAATATTAGGCCTGCAGGCCTGAGAAACGTTCTGCAGGTCGCCGCTGTTGGAAGAAAACCTTGTATCTCCATTTTTGACGTAATTTGAAAATACCCATTACCCTTTACATTGTATGTACATTTCATGATGAATAGGCTGAAAGAAATGACCCAAAATCACTTGGAAAAAAGTCAGATTCCATTGACATACACTGAAAGTAAAGAAGGTTTTTTCCTTCTCCTGTAAAGTTACCATTTTGGAGATTCGAGGTTTTCTTCCGACAACAGCGACTTGCTCAGAGTCAATGCCCGCAGACTTTTCAATGCCACACCATACAGAAGCAGCTATAGGGTAGCATTTTAATGTTGGTACCTGTTTACATCCTGTATACACACATATTTAGGCCTGTTATGAAATATCCAGGCTTCTCGCTTAAATGTGTAATAATAAATGATAAGGCAATGCAGCGGCTGTGGAAGGTGCCCCACTTTACCTAACATGTTCAGCTGAAGTGGGACAGAACTTAAAACTCACCATGTGTAATAATTACTTATGATTTTGAGGTAACATGCATTATTCTTTTAATGTCCCACGAATCATCATTTAAAAATAAAAAAGTTCATTCTGTTTAAATTTCTGTTTTTATATTGCCATGTGTATTTAAAATAGTCTTTTGATCTGTGGACCCACTAAACATGTTAGATGAAATCAGACTGATTTCAAATTATGATCACGCCCACACACAATAAAGCCAGGCCAATGAAAACAAATGCTGATATGCACCCAGTGCTAATTATATATGATGGGTTTATTTGATCAGCCCCTGTCACTTAAAGGGGAACTCCACTGATTTTCCCAAAAATCCTACATAATTAAATGGCTGAGATGTAAACAAAATCATTTAGAGTGGTTTAGTGTGAAATGCTCACTCTAGAGAATCTTACAGTGTCATATTTATTCACAGTGGTGGTGATAGGAACCAGACGTCTGAAATGCTTAATGCCTCTGAAAGCTACTACATGAAATGGTTATGAATATCCTGCCTGGTGTCTGTCGTATTGTTTTTTGATAGTTTTATTGAAGGTTTTGGCTTAAAAATTTATTTTAGTTCATTCATGGCGGAGAGATACACCGTTTAGGCATAACATTATGACCACCTCCTTGTTTCTACGCTCATTGTCCATTTTATCAGCTCCACTTACTATATAGGTCCACTTTGTAGTTCTACAGTTACAGACTGTAGTCCATCTGTTTCTCTGATACTTTGTTAGCCCCTTTTTACCCTGTTCTTCAGTGGTCAGGACCCCCATGGACCCTCATAGAGCAGGTACTATTTGGGTGGTGGATCATTCTCAGCACTGCAATAACACTGATGTGGTGCTGGTGTGTTAGTGTGTGTTGTGCTGGTCTGAGTGGATCAGACCCAGCAGTGCTGCTGGAGTTTTTAAACACCTCAGTGTCACTGCTGGACTGAGAATAGTCCACCAACCAAAAATATCCAGCCAACAGCGTCCTGTGGGCAGTGTCCTGTGACCACTGACGAAGGACTAGAGGATGACCAACACAAACTGCAGCAGCAGATGAGCTATCGTCTCTGACTTTACATCTATAAGGTGGACCGACAAGGTAGGAGTGTCTAATAGAGTGGACAGTGAGTGGACACAGTGTTTAAAAACTCCAGCAGCACTGCTGTGTCTGATCCACTTGTACCATCACAACACACACTAACACACCACCACCACCACGTCAGTGTTACTGCAGTGCTGAGAATGACCCACCACCCAAATAGTACCTGCTCTGTGAGGGTCCATGGGGGTCCTGACCACTGTACAGTCTGTAATTGTAGAACTACAAAGTGCACCTATATAGTAAGTGGAGCTGATAAAATGGACAATGAGCATAGAAACAAGGAGGTGGTCATAATGCTATGCCTGATCGGTGTACATTCAGGGCTTTGTAAGGCAAAACAGTCCTCTAAGAAAACTTTTTTCACTATTTTATGATCATCAAGAGAACATATAAAGACTCAGAAGATGCATGTAAATTCACTGGTGGTTCTGGATCAGGGGTGCCCGGCTCCAGTCCTGGAGATCCACTGTCCAGCACAGTTTGGAGGTTTCCCCACTCAAACACACCCACTGTACCTGGCAATTAACAGCTAAGTGTAATCAGGTGTGCTGGAGTAGGTAAATTACCAAACTGTGCTGGACGCTGGCCCTCCAGGACCGGAGCTGTGCACCCCTGTTCTGGATAGTAAATAAAATGACTATATTTGTGTTGTAGTCATGGCGACCCCCGGTTCCTATCACCACCACTGTGAACCAAATAAACACAACATGACTACACCTGCTTACCTCCATTTTCCCGGATGACATGGCCTGGTCGCTCTTCTTCTTCTTGTACTTGTCCTTGTACATCTTGTTGCGGTGCTTTTTACACATCCACGGCTTCCTCTGCTTGGCCACCTGCTTGGTGGTCTCCGTGCAGCCGTCGTACACGCACTTCTTGGGCGCGTTCTCGCCGCTCAGCGCTTCGTCCTCGTTGGCTTCTGCGGGGCTCGCGGCGCTCTCCCGCGGCTCCGGCGCCTCCACAGCGTCGCTCTCCTCGCCTGGATCTTCTGCGTCGTGGTACGAGTAAACAGTGTCGGCGCTCAGACTCACCACGCCGCTGTTCTCGCCGCCGAGAGAGCTCGGACCTTCTGGACCAGCGGCAGGTGCAGAACCCGCACTCTCACCTTCACTCATTCTGGGTTTTACCGGATATGAACGAATAAATAACGGCAGACAACCAGCAGCTCCGCTACTTAGCTACCTAGCTAATCTAGCTCGCTAGCCTAGACGTGTAGCCTGACAGGCTAAACATACAAAACACAGTCATTCTCGTAAAACCTGAACACGAACAGGACTTTACCTCCTCAAAACAAAGAGCCAGGTTTAACAGTCGGTTTGTTTGGTATGGAAGGAGCTGGTTTAACCCACGGCCATAGCTCGTCTCCGGCTCCGAGAGCTCCCCCCCTGCAGCACAGCGGCTCCGATAAGGCGGCTGTGCTGCCACCTGCAGTACTGCTGAAACTCTGACAGCGTGCTGATAGATCAGGAGGCCACATCGCGATACTGATACCACACGTTGTGATTTCGATATGCCTTATCGATATATATATACACACACATGGTGTATCAGGCATAACATTATGACCACCTCCTTGATTCTACGCTCATTGTCCATTTTATCAGCTCCACTTACTATATAGGTGCACTTTGTAGTTCTACAGTTACAGACTGTAGTCCATCTGTTTCTCTGATACTTTGTTAGACCCCCTTTTACCCTGTTCTTCAGTGGTCAGGACCCCCATGGACCCTCACAGAGCAGGTACTATTCGCGTGGTGGGTCATTCTCAGCACTGCAGTAACACTGACGTGGTGGTGGTGTGTTAGTGTGTGTTGCGCTGGTCTGAGTGGATCAGACACAGCAGTGCTGCTGGAGTTTTTAAACACTGTGTCCACTCACTGTCCACTCTATTAGACACTCCTACCTTGTCGGTCCACCTTATAGATGTAAAGTCAGAGACGATAGCTCATCTGCTGCTGCACAGTTTGTGTTGGTCATCCTCTAGTCCTTCATCAGTGGTCACAGGACGCTGCCCACAGGACGCTGTTGGCTTGATATTTTTGGTTGGTGGACTATTCTCAGTCCAGCAGTGACACTGAGGTGTTTAAAAACTCCAGCAGCACTACTGTGTCTGATCCACTCGCACCACAACACACACTAACACACCACCACCACGTCAGTGTTACTGCAGTGCTGAAAATGATCCAGCACCTGAATACTACCTGCTCTGTGAGGGTCCATGGGGGTCCTGACCTCTGAAGAACAGGGTAAAAGGGGGCTAACAAAGTATCAGAGAAACAGATGGACTACAGTCTGTAACTATAGAACTACAAAGTACACCTATATAGTAAGTGGAGCTGATAAAATGGACAATGAGCGTAGAAACAAGGAGGTGTTGGAGATGTTATGCCTGATCGGTGTATATTCACTGGCCACCTTATTAGGTACTTGTCCATTTTATCTTTATTAGGACTCCTAAACTCATTGTCCATTTTATCAGCTCCACTTACCATATAGGTGCATTTTGTAGTTCTACAATTACAGAAAAGTCCATCTTTTCATGTCTGGACTGCCGAAATGCACTGTTTATAAGATTACAAAAAAACTACGATAGGCCGACTGCAGCTTTGCTCAGAATGCTGTAACAAGAGGACTGTTGCACCTGTTCTAGCATCACTGCACTGGCTGCCTGTTTCTTTTAGAATTGATTTTTAGATTATCTTTTTGGTTTTTAAAGCGCCTTCATACATCTCAGAATGCCTGACAGAATACGTCCCAGATCATGTTATAAAATGAGCAAGTGCTGTCCTTCTCATTGTTACAAAAATGAAGTACATTCGCACCTACACTCTTAAAAACATAGTTCTTCAAGGGTTCTTTAGTCAAAGGAATTGTTCTATTTAGAAATATGAGTTCTATATAGAACCATTTCCATTTCATGCTTAAATGATTCTGTGCATGGTGAAATGGTTCCATATTTTATCATTAACATTGAAAAAAAAATAATAATGTCTTTATACTGGCTTTTTATTGATAATGGCTACTTTATCTTAGATATATTTTTTTATTTATAACAACATTTTCTTCTTTTCTTACTGTTTCTGTTTTATTTCATTCTTTTTTATTTCCTTATTCTTCTTATTTCTTAGTTGTGTTACTTATGTTTTTATATCGTTTTATGTTGTGAAGCATTTTAGGCTGCTTTTTATATGTGAAAGGTGCTATATAAATAAAATTGCTACTGGTGGTCCTGTGGGGGTCCTGACCATTGATAAATGAAGTAAAAGGCTTAGAAAGTATGCAGAGAAACAGATGGACTGAAGTCTGTAACTATAGAAGTACAACATGTACACTGTAAGTGGAGCTGATGAAATGGACAATGAGTGTAGACACAAGGAGGTGTACTTAAGTGAACATTGTGTGTACGTATTAAAACACATTGATGTGGTTATAAAGCCTACATTATTCTGGCCAAAATATATTTACATTTGCTGGATTATGTGAATGTCTTAGTCGTCACAATGTCCACAGAGCACTAGAAACCAGAGGTGTCAACAAGTCATTAGTTTGCAAGTATAAGTCCAAGATTTTTCACCACAAGGTTTAAGTTAGTCCAAAGTTCAACTGTAATCTTTGCAATTAGACATAAATGTGCATGAGAAAAAGTCTTAGAAACTCTGAATTATTTTTCAAAAGAAGCAGTATTGACCTATAATTGAGACATTATTGTTAAAGAAGCTTTAAACAAAGAACTGTGGGCAAGGAAATCTTTTAAACATTGCGCATTAAAGGAAAAGGTTTTCTCGTCAGATTTGGAGGAGACTTGAGTGGGGTGCGGTCCCCTCTCCAATTAGCTAACACTACTGCTAAAACTGAAGTGTAACATTCATGAAGGGGAATCCTAGTCTTCTGCATGAGGTCTTTTGGCAAACCCTGGTAGCTATGCAGAGCATTAATATTAATAATAAATTGCATTAATATTTAACTTTGCCAAGAACAATTTCCGAGCACACATGCAATCAAAACTGTCCTCATGTAGCTGCTCCATCTGACATTACTTTGTGGATGTGGTCCCTGGTTTACATTAAGAAAAAATTCTTAAAAGAAAGCAATTTGAGAATTCCAATAACCACATCATTACTGATATGTTTTATTATGATATGATATTTTATCAGCTCCACTTACTATATAGGTGCACTTTATAGTTCATCTGTTTCTCTGCATACTTTGTTAGCCCCCTTTTACCCTGTTCTTCAGTGGTCAGGACCCCATGGACCCTCACAGAGCAGGTACTATTTGGGTGGTGGATCATTCTCAGCACTGCAGTAACACTGACGTGGTGGTGGTGTGTTAGTGTGTGTTGCGCTGGTGCGAGTGGATCAGACACAGCAGTGCTGCTGGAGTTTTTAAACACCTCAGTGTCACTGCTGGACTGAGAATAGTCCACCAACCAAAAATATCCAGCCAACAGCGTCCTGTGGGCAGCGTCCTGTGACCACTGATGAAGGACTAGAGGATGACCAACACACACAAACTGTGCAGCAGCAGATGAGCTATCGTCTCTGACTTTACATATACAAGATGGACTGACAAGGTAGGAGTGTCGAATAGAGTGGACAGTGAGTGGACACAGTGTTTAAAAACTCCAGCAGCACTGCTGTGTCTGATCCACTCAGACCAGCACAACACACACTAACACACCACCACCACTTCAGTGTTACTGCAGTGCTGAGAATGACCCACCACCTAAATAGTACCTGCTCTGTGAGGGTCCATGGGGGTCCTGACCACTGAAGAACAAGGTAAAAGGGGGCTAACAAAGTATGCAGAGAAACAGATGGACTACAGTCTGTAACTGTAGAACTACAAAGTGCACCTATATAGTAAGTGGAGCTGATCGGTTTATTGTTAATGTTGTGCATGAAATTAGCACTTCATCACCTTTGAAACTTTTTTATTTACAGTTCATACAAGACATTATGTACATATGCGTTAATGCTGCCAAAACCAGCCGTCAGTTTAAGAATTATTATGTTACTTCATGTTAAAAATCCTTATTTAATATAGGCTGTAGTGTAATGTATTTGTGGTGAGCGTGTGCTTTTCTGCGTCCATATCTCTTCAGCAGGAGAGTGAAGATACTGTAGACCTCTGTGAAGACAGACTGCAGATCTCCATGTTAGTGAAAGAGCTTCCTGCCTCACTGCTGCATTCCGGATATGATGAGCTAGATGAGATGATGTTCTTCAGCCTGTGTAGGGCGATGATGAGGAGGGTGAGGAGGAAGAACAGCAGGCTGAGGAAGATGGAGACGTAGATGTAGACGCTCTCTGTGCGGCCAGACGTGGCTGCGGCAGCCCCAGTGGAGAGGGAGGTAGGGCTGAACCTCAGAAAGCTCTCTCCTGACAGGTCAGTTCCATTCAGCTCCTCCGCTTGGCTCCCCATCCCAGACATAGCAGCGTGGAGAGGGCCTACATGTAGAAAGTGATAGTTTGTCACATAGTCAAACAATTTTCCAGCCTAAATACCATGTTTAGTGTCCAAAATGTACTGCTTTAGTTTTGCACTGGACCTCAGAGGCTACTGTAGCTAACAACTAATGGAAACCGAAACTGTGTCACGCTGTTAAGTAAACTAAAATAGACTTGTTAATGTTGTCCTTTACTATTATGTACTGTAAAAAGAAATTTCACTGTCAGCCTGCTATAAAATTGAATGGTCTATGCCCATTTAAAAAAAAAAATCGAAGATTAAATGCATGTAAATAAACCACAGATATTCTGTATTTTAACTCTGCTGTTGTTAATTTACAGAAATGGAATGTAAATTCACAGAAACACCTGATGATCACCTTTACTTCTTTCACCACTTGTTTTTGTAAAACAGGTTTTTTTACAGTGTATAGTACTGTGCAAACGTAAGAGACCATCCTTCATTTATTAATTTACAGTCAAAATGTGTGTCAAAAGTTATTCATTTTCCCACATCAGTAAAAAAGCAGGAAAACACACTTAAATATAACATTAATCTATACATTATAGTGCACAATTTATATTAATTTCCTGAGATGAATGTGTATAAATAAAACAAACAACACACTGTGCCACTTGTAGAGGCCACATTTTGTGTGCAATTGTTTTCTAATATGGTAAATTCAGCCAATAACTATAATTGTGCATTAAAACATGCATAGGTGTGCTCTCTGTAAAGGACATGTTAACTTATTTTCATTTAGAAAATCAACAAAACATGCAATTTGACCAGGGGTGTTTGCATATGACTGTAAATACATTTATGTGCATAAGTATGTCAGTATGTGTGTCCAAAGGTCTGCCACTAAATTCAGATCATGTTCAGGTTTTCTTGCAATAATGCTATAATTTTTTATCTAATCAATAATGGGATGTTGCTGCTCTTCAGAACC